TAAGATTTCGTTTTTTAACTAAAATAAGTCGTCTTTATTTTTAACTATTATCCTTTTTTTTAATTTACCTTTTACTATCGTAAGGGTTTACGCTCAATTAAAAAAACTAATAAGTTATATTCTAATTACTTCGTATATTATTAATAATATTTAAATATACTCTTTATTATAATTTTTAATAATCTTAAGGCGTTAAACTACTTTTTACTTATTTATTATAATAAGGGTTTTATTAAAGGGTTTCTTAAGGTATTATTTTAATTATTCCTTATTATCTTAATAAATAAAGTAGTTATCGTCGTAATATATAGTTTAAAAAAGTAATTTATAAAATACTTTTTTAGAAATAATATTAATTTATTTCTTAGGGATAAGTCGTTATTAAATTCGTTTAAGCTATTTATAATTTTTAATTATATATCTTAACTTATCGTAATTATAATATTTAAATTTTTTTTTTAATAGGATTAGTTTTATTTTACTATATTAAGATTTATAAGTCCGCTATATTATTTATAAATAATAGTTTATTAAAGGTTATTATTCTTATTATAGCGGTGTTTTTAATTAAAATTATATTAAAATTACTATTAATACTTACGTCTTACGTTAAGTTCTTATTATTATTTTTTCTTTTCTTTTTTTTTTTTATAAAAGCGGTTATCGATTTTAATTACGAGTTTAATATATTAAAAAAAATCATTTAATTTATCAATCTTAATAAGTTCGTCCTTAACTTTATCCTTAAGTCCTTAATAAAATATAAAAATCTTAATATCGTTAATAAAATTAAGTTAAGTATTAAAACGTTTAAACTCGGTTAAGTAATCCTTTATTAATTTAATTTATTAAAATTATAATATATTACGCTCGGCTTATCGTTTTTTATTTAGATTTTAAAAAAGCGATTTAAAAGCTTTTTTAAACTTGTTAAAATTATAATAAATATCTCGTATTTTAATAAAGTATTCGTTAAGGGTTTCTTTTTTAAAATATTCTTCTTAAAAAAGTTCGAATTATTTAAAAACTCGTTTTTTAAAAAAGCTAACGGCGTATACGACTTTTTTAATTTTATTATTAAAATCTCTTTAATAAAAATTTTAAAAATTCTTAATTTAAATTAAAAATCTTTTTAAAATTCTAAAAGTCTTATTAAAAATAATAAATACGTTAAGTTTAAGCTTTTATTATCCTCTATTAAAAAAAGTAATAACGATATTAATAGTACTTTAAAATGTATTTACTTAATTAACGAGGTTTAAAACCTTTTAGCGTTTGTTCTTAAGTTTTTTAAATATAACGTTAAATATTCTTTATATCTCGGTAATATTACGGTCGTTTTTAATTTAAATTTCTATTAATCGAGTAGTAATAGTATTAAAAAGGTCCGTTAGTTCTTTATTATATTAAATACTTTAATTAACGACGTAACGTATTTAAGTATATATTATTTTATTAAAGACTGCGTCCTTATTAAAATTATATTTAATATCGGGTATCTCTACGTCTCTTTTAGCTTAAACTAGCTCGGCGTTTAAAACTTAAGGCTTTTTACCTTTATTAAAAAAAGATTCGATAAATATTATTCGTATTATTTAATAAGTTTTTATAAAGTCGATTTACTAAATAAGAGTAATTAAAATATTACGATCGATTAATTATAATAAGGTTTATATTAATAAAAGTCGGGGCTATGATATTTATAAATAGTAATCGTTATAAAAATAATTTTAATAAAACTATTATTTATAAGTCGTAAAATAAGTAAGGTTTTAGTAATTAATCGTAGTTTTATTAAATAAATTCTTAATAAAAATAGTTAAAAATAATCGTAAGATTTAATACGAAGTTAATTATTAAAAAAGTTATAAAAATCTATTTTTAAGCTTAGCTCGGGCTATTTTATATATAAATCTTAATCGTAAATATATTTTTTATAATATCTTATTTATTATTATTCGATCGTTTATCGAGTAGTCGTCCGTTTTATATTTTTATAATCGCCCGTTTTATTTATTTATAGGCGTCTATTTTTTATTTTATTATACGATCGTAATTATATAATTTATTTATAATTTTTCTGTTTTAAAAGAGGCCGTTTAAGTTCTTATTGTTGTATATATAGTATAGTAGCCGCCGTAGGTCCTATAAGGTAGGGCCCTAGTTTAGCAATGCGTGTTGGGTCGTAATAAATAATAACGAGGCCGTTTTTTAATAAATACGATTATTTAAATAAGGCTTCGATAAGATTTAATATTAATTTATTATTTATTATATATTATAATAAAAGGATATAAAAAGCGTAAAAGTTAAAAATAAATATAATATAATTTAATATAAAATAATTTAAATAAATATATTAACGTAAGAAAATGTTAATAAGCGAGCCTTTACCGCTTTTAAAACGAAGTATTTATAGTTTATATATTTCTTTAAGCTAATAATAGTGTATAGCTATTATACCCGTGTAAGAGTTATGCCCGTATATTAATTATTTATACCCGTGTATTAATTCCTATTTAAAAATAATAAAAAAAAGTTTAAATAAAGTTAATAAAGCGGTTTAATTTAATATTTACTTATTTTATTACGTATAAGATATTTCGTTTATTAAATAACTTAATTAACGTTATAGTTAATTAATATTTAATTAGTTTTTTTTAATTTATACAAGCTCTAGCGTTATAAATATCTTATTAAATAAATAAAAATTTTGAAAACTACTTTTAAATAATAGTACGTATATCGTAAATTTAAATCTTAACTTATCGGTTTACAAAGTTAATAATATCTTAAACTATTTAAATAAACTTATAATATAAAAACTATATAAAAGTTTAAAAACTAAAGTTATAATTATATTAATTATATTAAAAGTTTAAATAATAATATAAAAGTTATTTCCCTTTTTCTTAAACTTCGATAATAATTTATTATTTATAACCGTATTTACGAAACTTATATTATAAAATACTAATATTTTATATAAACTTAAGCTTATTAAACCGATTATATTAAAAAATATATTAAATAATTCGGCCTTAAGTTTTATACTTATTCCGTTTTATAATATTAAATTTATTAGCTTTTATAAATATATTAACTTAATCAAAAAAGGCATTATAAATTTATTTTAAATTATTAAAAATCGATAAATTTAAGATTTTAGTGATAAAAAAAAGATTAATTATTTAGAATATAATAAAAAGCTATAATTTAAAAACACGCTTCGTTTTGAAAACAGGATTAATATAAAAATAAATAAAGTAATAAATTAACTTAAGGACCTTATATTTCTTATTATTAACAATTATATTTTTATTATTAAAAAAGTATTATTATTAATTATTAATTAATTTTAATAACTGATAAAATAAATTAAAAAGTATTGTTAAACTATTTTATTATAAAATTAAAAATCTATTAAAACTATTTATTAAAAAAAAAAGGGGGTTATATTTTAAAACAAAATCGTAAAAAAATAATTCACTAAGTTTTTATTATTTGTTTTAAAAAATAATAAATAAAATATAATATAAGTTTTATATTAAAATAATTATTTATCAAAAGTCGCGTATTTTATAATATATTAGCTAAGAGTTTAATATAAAGTTATACTATTTTTAAAGATTATTAATTTTATAAAATTAATTAATATTTAAATAGCTATTTTTTTTAAAAAAAAATAATAGCGATTAGTTAAATAATAATAGGAGGCCGTAATTAATTAATAATTTCTCTTATAAAAAAAAAGTTTTATTAATATAAGTATTATTTTAAAATTAACTTCATAAAATATTTTTAATTTTAATTAAAAAAGCTATTATAGATAAATAATATAAATTAGATTTAAAAACTTAATAATATAAATTTAAAATAAAAAGATTAATAAAATAAAAGGGTTAAAATATTTTATAAATATTTAATAGAATTTAATTATATTAATAATATTTTTTTTAAATTTATTAAAAGGTCGAATAGCGACGTCGGTATAAGAGCGACGCCGGTATAAGAGCGACGCCGGTATATTAATTTCCTTTTATTAATTCTTAATATTTCTTTTATTAAACAAAGCATTTTTTATTATTCTTATATTAATAAAACATTAACCTCGGCTTATAATAATAAATAATCTTTTTAACTTGTCAATATTTATATTTACTAAATTAAAAAATTAAATATTTTTTTACTATTTTATTAATTATTTTATTTATTATTTTTTAATTTAATTAAAAAGTTTTTTATTTTATATTTATTATATTAATTTATAAAAATTTAAAATTCAAAATAATATAATAAAATATTTAAAAATAAAAAAAATAAAAATAAATATAATTTAATTTTAAAATTAAATTTTAAGTTTTATGTAATTATTATTGATTTTTTAAAATTTAATTTAATTTAATAAAGTTAAAAACTTATTAAACCGTCGTTATTTAAGCGTAAAGTAGCTAAGTTAATATAGCGTACGGTAGCGGCATTTTTATACCCTAATTTCATGTATACGTTAGGTCGTAATACTTAGCTATTGACGTTTTATAAGGTCTTCTAATCTCAAATTCTCCGCTTTAGCTCTTAAGACGATCTTGCCTCTTTCCCTAAAAGCTCTATATAAATCCACTGACAGTGTAATATAGTTAAGGTTTTTAATTATTGAAAGCGACCCTGGTTATATACGTAAAGAATGTCTTGTAGGGTAAAGTCTTATAGAGGCTTTAAAATGAACAACTGCGGTAACAAAGTTCTGACGAGGTTGGGTAGACGATCAAGTTTTGAGCGTCTATCACCTGGCCCTTATTTCACTCCAACTTTTGCTTTCTTATTTCCACCCTCATAAATGCCGGCTTTTGTAGTACGGGAAACTTTTCTCATGAATTAGGCGAGAGACCAATGGTCTGATCATTGATGGCATTTGGCATCTTCGAGGCAAGGAAAATAAATTTTATTATAGAGTATACAAGGCCCCTCCGCAACCTCTAATCGTTGTGGCTAGAAATTTCTCAACCGTAAAAAAGCTCAAATTTGGTGGCGAACCCTGGGCTGGTTGGATTTACATCCTTGATAGGGTGTAGGATCATAGGCGGCAAACAAGGTCTGCCGTTGTTGATCTCCCAGTCTCGCCCCCCAATATCCGTATCAATGTATCCCATCCAGTTGTTATACAGCCTTGAAGGAGGTTCAGCACGATAGTACCACGTGATTCCTTGGTACCTACGCTCTCTACCATAACCCATTGCACTCCCTTGGCCACCACTTTCGCCATTAGGTCCAGGGTTGAACCAGTCGTCAAGGAACTTTCCGTTCCAAGGCCGATCAAACCACGTAGGGTGAGGAGCAAAAACCGCTTTCAACCCATGGAGTAGTGCAACTGTCTGGGGCGTCATTTCTGAGGCTATGTGATTACCACGGAGGTTCTCAACATGCATGATATCCAAAAGACGCTTAGATATGCGCGACTGCGTCACGATAGTACATCGTCGAGGGAGTGATGTTGCCGGATGCCGTTCATCTTTGTAGCCCCAAATGTGGTCTGCAAAAATCCAGCTGCTGTTGACAGGGTTGAAGATGGGACCAAGTGTGATCAAATCTGCCTCCTCGTCAACTCCCCAGGCATACTGATCATCTCGTGGATCTGCCGTTGGTGGCTTTGGTCCAACCGGGTTGATGAAAGGCACTTTCGGAGGTCCCCAAACTTGGGCACCGCTAGTCTGCTTCTCGACGTATTCGCGGAAGTCAGTCCATGTTCCGTGATGGTCAGGAATATAATATCGCTCATTACGTTCCCATAAACCCCTGCGCGGCTGGTTTCTTGAAAAACCTCTCAGCTTCTCCAAAAAATCATAGTTGTGTCCAACAACCCTGACATCCATCTCCCAGTTCCAGATGTAATCGAATTCGGGGTGGTCCGTACTGAACTTTTGAACGGACAGCCACTGTGCATGGTGAACACTTTTTTCATCATCTTCAGTGAGTGCTGTATATATGTCCCATACGACTTGGTCGTTCCAGAGCTTGGTAATTCCATGAAACTCTCGAGGTACATGTTCATCTAGAACATGTTGATATGCTGTCTTGTCGCCCTTCAGGTTGACCGAACGGTCGTGGACGTGTAACAGAAGGAAGACTTGGTATTCTCCGCCCGAACGAAGGGAAAGTTCGGAGATAAGAGACCTAATGGCTTGCTTGTCATTCTCGGTGTATCGTTTGCCAGTAAAAGTGCGAAGGAGAACCGCGGTTCGAGACTCAGTCTTTGTTGTTGTCGTGGACAACCTGCCTGAGGTCTCTTCTTCTTCCGCTCCTGTCTTTCGTCTCTGAATGCTTCCGGTATTCGTGTAAACGGTGTCAACATAGGCGTTTGGCTTCCCGGTACTAAATCGGGCGGCATTCTCCTTGACACAGTTTGCCTGTAGACTGCCCCAATCAACGCTATTCCAATCTACGGGCAGACTGTTCGTTTTGAGCTGAAGAGTGTGACCGTAGGGGCCAAGCCTACTTTCGCGTTCGTAGCAGAGATTGCCGTCCATGTTGAAAATGTCGAAGCTGCCGAAGGAAGGCTGGGGAAACTTTGCAGGGCGGCCTCTGAAGACAAGCAGATCTTCCACATGCTCCCCATTAGCACCCAGACATGGCACATACGGGGGGCGTCCATCTTTCTTCCAATCCTCTCCATTGTAGTCAGGGTAGGGATTGAAATGGACAGGCTGGTGGTTCGAGTATGGTTTCTCTTCCTCGCTGGAATCTCGAAGACGCGCCGCATGTGGATCTGTCCTGTTGTCCACATCAATTAAGGTATTCAGAGTATTGCCGTAGATTGCACCACTGCCGGGAAGCCTATCGACGAAGTCAAGTTAGCTGCATGTATGGACATGATGACGGCAGGCCATCCAAAAACACCTACTTCTTAGCAGCCTCATATTCCCTGGCAAACTCGTCCCGTAGCTTTTGTTCATATTCTTCCTCTTTCTGTTTGATTGCTTCCTCTTCCTGTTTCTGCTTCTTTTCTGTCTGCTTCACAGCCTCTGCTTCATGCTTGAGTGCTTCTTCTTCCTTTTTCAGCGCATCCTCCTCTTTCTTCAATGCTTCCGCTTCTTGCTGTAAAGTTTCCACATCCTGCTTCAAGGCGTCGGCATCCTGTTTTAGAGTTTCCTCTTGTTGTTGTTCGTGCTCTTCTTCGCTGTTCTCTGGTGGAGTGATAGATTCAGTGGGATGCTCCACGGGATAGGCGGGTTGTTGCTCGGGAAGGTTTTCAGGAGGCGGGTTATGCGTTGCGTCTTGCCAGGAAGCAAACTGGACACCCGGTTCATTTCCTACTCTGAGAAAAAAATGAATGGCAATGCCAGCAAAAGCCAGCAAGAGCAAAGTTCTAGGACGAACTCTCGGGGCAACCAAACCTCTGGGGAAGGTTTGCTTGGCCATTTTCGATTTTTCTGACAACCAGGACTGAGACATGTCAAAACCTAATCAAATCGGATGGAGTTGCGGGAACCATTCGTTGAGAAGCCTTATGATCGAGGTTGAACTTTCTTGAGACGAGAATGACATGAGATGGCACGCTAAAAAATGTCAAAGACAGGCTATTTTGGACTGTCTGGAGACACTGAACTTCATTTCCCTTCATGTTTGCTAACCGGGTTGACCGGGAAAGTCGGAGCTTAGAGTTCAGCCAAGAGTATGAGCAGAAAGGTTTATTTAATTAAATGAAGCTCTAAACGCGTCCAGAAAACCTTATTCAGATTGACAGTGACATTACGAAACCTGATTTGCTTCAACCGTAAAGAGATACAACCGTCAAGAAATCCGATGACTGACTCAGGAGGCCCTGGGCACAAATTGTGTGACCACGACAATCCCCGTCGCCTGCTGGGAAACTGCTTCAGCATTCGATCAATCCAATACTATTCCACCAATAAGCCAATCTATCGCTCACACCAGAGACCAAGTTGAAAGAAACAGAAACAAATTAACAGCATGAGAATAAGACGTGAGTGATACCAAAATCATAAAGTAATGGAATACTTCCCTACAATCAATTCTGAGTGGAAACAGTTAAAGGATGATCGTGATTTCTAAGTCTAGCCCTCGACCTCTGGTGTCGACTCCCTAGTTAGTGTCAACATTCTAGTCTATGGATACCGACTTATATGATAAGGTTTACCTTATCTTGATAACATGCACAGCTCAATATCATTTACTTTCGCGGCAAAAGTTAAATTAGCAGAGAGAAAAAAAGGGGGTGGGGGGTTTGGAACATGCAATCTTGGCATCAGGCGTCGCTGCATCAACAACTTGCCCCGTCGTTACAAAAATTCCCAGATGAAAGAAACGCTGCTACTAAATCCTTTCGGAGACTTAAGCTCGCGAAAGTGTTGAGAAACTGAATTCCCGACCGCAAGAAGCGCTGGAAATCTCGCCTGAGCGTCACTTCCTTGGCCCCTGCTGTTAACCCTCTATCGCTCAAGTGGCAATTACCTTGGGCGCTTCCAAGCCCTCCTCTGTGAAAGCTGTCTAGCTGCAGTTTTGATATCTGTCAGTATGGCATTATAGTCTACTATCGCGCGCAAGGACAAGAGCAAGTATGGTATTTCAGTATAGCCTGCGGTTAGCACAACCACACTGTTCAACCCAGTCAGGATGGGATGCACGAAAGATCTTTGAGCGAGTGATATGTCCAGCCCATCGATTAAATCTCCATCGTCGACTCCAGCCTATTGACATCCCGCAGAGCTGATGGTCCGCGTGCGAAAGCTGACAGAGGTTGCCGTGGCCGGGGCTCCATCACCGCTCGCGATAAAGCCGGCGTTGACCAGGCTCTGGAAAACCAGCTTCAGTCGTACCTGGGATGCTAGATTTTGGTGCGTGCACTCGAATGCTGATTTCACTTACCGTCACTCCTATCTGCCAACTTCTGGTGCGCAACCAGTCAAAAAGGCTAGGAAGCTGAAGACCTCATTTTCGTTGCAAAGGGAATGAGCTCTGCGAGGCGTACTTATGTAAAGATAATTACCAGGGCTTTTCCGAGTCACCTTCTACAATATATTGTGTTTCTTTCGAATCCCAGATTTTCAACTGTTGTAGATATGAGGATTTCTTTCCTTCTGATGTCCTGCCTCATTGACTGCCAACAGTCTCAGCCTGGAACAGTTAGCTGGAAGACTCATACGGGCTATCAGCACAAATTATTGTAAGAACACGAAGTGGGGTAGCTAAACAATGGTGCTACTTCGAGCAGTAATCTTATTACTTCCATAGAAGTTAATGATGATGAAGATCTTTGTTGCGATTTGTCCGTTCATCTATACACCCACCCGATCACCCACGCATCGCATAAGGTGGAGAGCAGCTTACTTTCAGACCAATGGAATTGCATCATCCGAAAGCACATTACGCCGCCCAAAGTTTGCTGATAGTCTCGGGTACTGATGTCACAGGATGACCGGTCATGTACCATATTGTACCGTGTCCTCTACGCCTGATTGTATGATTTAATTCCCATTAGCTAAGGCCCCTTCTGGTCGTGGCGGCTATCTGGGCTGTACCACAATGCGAGGAATCAAGTGAGAGGCATCTATAGTAGAAAAATGACTTCATTCGGCTACAAGGAGCTCCTACAAGGGATGACCTATATATACGCCGTAGAGAGCGAGCCCACAGAATGGTCGTTTCGTGGTAAGCGGTCTTGTTGGCAGTTTGCTAGCCAGCGCCACGTGTGGCGCTGCGACAGGCCGAATGTATCCTCAAAGATTATGACCAGCGCCACATGCTTCGAGTACACTTCCAAAAAAAGAGCATTCCGTAGTTTCATCATTAATTCAGTAGCGGGGAGAGAAGAAAACAAGCCGTTCAATTTCAATCTAGTTCTTCCCTCTGCGCCAGCCCAGAACCCAGTACCCTTTCCTAAGCCTTGGCGTCTGAATCCTCAATTAGCCACTACCTAGTGGCAAACACAGGGCTTCTGACTGTTTTTCTTGGCGGTGCGCGCATGAGCGGCACGCGCCTGCTTGGCCGCCTTCAGCTTCTCGCGCTTGGCCTTGTTCGCGGCTCTGGACGCGCGCGCGTGGGCAGCGCGAGCCTGCTTCGCCTCCAAGATTTCAGTATCGGCACGGGACATGTTTTCTGGTCTGCGTAGTGCACTGAGTGAAATTGAGGATTGTGAAGTTGGCATAAACTGGTGGGCTGCTTCCTTCGTGATGGTGATGTGTATTGAAGTAATGATGTATGGCGCAGACGCGTTTTCGTTCTTCGCTGTTGAACACTTGAGTTTCAGATATCGCGCGGAATCCACTATTCTTTACAGGGGATTGAGCCAATTATATCATCTTTCCCTAACTGCTCATGCACAGCCACTTCAGCCACTTCAGCCACAGCCATCAGACACGTACCGCGTCGTGTCGTAATGCGCTGTGTCGCGTTGTCTTCTTGAACATCGCAAACCTTCGAAGAACACTCATGTAGAATTCTCAATTTAGTAAGCTTGCTGGAAGTGTCCATTCTCGATCAAACCGGGTGGTGACTCAGCCAGCTCGTTCTTGTTATCCGCCTGGATTTGAGACCACAGACAGCCTAAAGGATCGCCCCACCCAGCAGAAAACGAGTGTTATCATTACAAGAGTCTCAGTGGTTCTTAGTTCACTCTACTGCGTGTGTCATTCAATCGGGGATTCTTTTGATACTTTCTCGATCCCAGATTTCAGCGACTTTGCGGTATTGGATGTCTTTCTACGACGGTGCCAGACCTTTCGCCGTGGTCAGAAATTGAGGGAATCGCTACCCGCAGAGAGAGAAAAATGGACTCTCGGGGTAGCAAGAAACGATTTCCGAGGATGATAGAGTCAGAGCCTTGATATTCAGACCAACTTTAGATGGATCAGCGCTTGTTCGTTTATGAAGTCGAGCCTGCGCAAGACTGTTTACCGGGGCCTTACTTTACCCCAGCAGTGATGCCGGCTATTTCTTTGAGCCTCTCCTCTTGCTAGACATGGCAATAACCAATGGTCACTCAGTCGCTGCACCTATTGATCTCGTGGTCAAGACGCCTTGCAGTGAGCCCGAAGCTCTGAAATGGCCACACAAAGAAGTTGCTGGGGACTACGCTCGCTTCCTTCCAATGGGCCGAAGGGCGCTACTGAAATAAACGCATAGTAAGCCCATGGACAGCGATTCAGACGACCAAGGGTTCCACTCGCCCACTTAGCGATATCCAGCGATGTGATATTTCTCGATTGGGCTGGTAAGCTTCCTTTAGCTCTATCTACCGCGAAGGGGTTTACAGTCATTGAAGACTCTTCCAATACAAACGTCAAGATAATCAGCATGGTGAAGGAAAAGCTTGACTTTTGACCCTTTTTGGGACAGCATCGCAAAATCGTTTGGTTGAAGGTCTTCTCTCTAAGCGGGAGGAGAGCAGGCACGACATCGGATCGCGATTCCCTGATAATCCAGTTAATCCAAACAGTCCAGAAATAAGGGTTAAAACATACTAAATCAGTTCCGTTGGTCTTTGAGCATTCGCTCGACAGTGGGAAGTACTGTTGAATAGCCCAAAGGGACGTGACAGGCGAGTAATTGAACAAGATCCTAGCGCGAGGTACCTCGTCCCGGTACAATTGCACAGTATCTGTGAATCAAGAGATTTAGTACATGGTCAAACAGCTGACTTGAGAGAAGAACAAACCCATGAGGCGGCGTGTGATTACTGGCGAAGGACTTCCCCGAACGCCGAAGCCAACACCTGTTCCGGTCCAGTCCACACCCTTCAATTCGTCAGAGAGGGAGTCCAAGCTATCTTCAGGGCCGAGGAGGACAGCTGTAATTATATCAGTCAATAGTATCTCAATAAAAGATGCAGCCAACCCTTGATGTTGTAGCCAGCCTTTGTTATCGCGGCCATGTCCGCGCGGATGCCGGCCTCGACCTGCTGGGGAGTGAACCCGCTGGTTACGACAGCGGGATGATTCCATGGTAGGCCGCTGGAAAGAAGTGTGTCAGTCATTATGGACGGCCAACGAGATTGTCGGCGTTTTTATTCCTGAGTCAAGATGCCTACGTGAAAACAAAATTTTGTTTGCCGCAGCTAGATGAGCATTTGCCCTTGCCGGACTGATCCGGGGAATTGGATCTAGGGCCAATCAAGGGCACAATGTCTAAATTGACAGGTGAAGCCGCAACGATGCTCCCAACTCCTATTACGATACTTGCCCAGAGTTTGACCATGATGTTGTTTGAGTAGAAATATCAGTTCGAAGGTCGATGTGGGAGATTGTTGGTATCCGTATTACAAGATAAATAAATGGGTTCGAACTGTAGTTCGAACGTGATGACGAAGGGTCAATTGACTGTATATTGAATCTCTGCGTGAAGTGGAAAAGAGTGGTGCTAACCGTAGTCAATTGGAAGCTAATATAGAGGTCCGTAGATGGCCCCTGCGCTTGCGCTGACTCGAGGTCGAATTGTACTTCCAATCCGGCAGAGATACTGTGTTAATGGGTTGGCTGAGAATGACGAGTGAACCAGTTGGGGGTCTGGAAGCAGCTCTCGTAGGCAAGGGATAAGCTCTGTGGGTTTTAATCTTTTGAAATGGGGCTTTCAACCCTCCCTGATCGTCACAGGGAGAAAAGGCTATTGAGGCAATCCATCCCTGGCGACTTCGCACGGACGAGAGGGACGAAAGGGCTGACTTTAGTTCGACTCGGAACCCCGCACTATACGGTATGAGTCCATTCATTGCCGGAGAAGTTTATCCGCGCAGCAGGGGCCAAAATATGAACGTGATGATGGGTTCTATTCTCTATTTTATGGTTATGTCCCACCTGGTGTGTTTAGCCCATGGGAGGGTTGCCGCGGAGCTTCCGGATCTGGAAGTGCTCACCCACCCGACTGATTCTTCCACCTTACAGCCGGGGCCAATTTGGGGTATCTTCACGTGGCAATCTAGTGGTACTTGGCTTAAGGGAAGCTTGGACAGGTTTCACAGCCTAATCCATTAGTGTGAGAAACGTTTCTTAATCGTCCAGAGCCATTAAGGCATTGAAAGTAAGTTCGGTTTCGGTTTCGTGCAATATTCGTGTATAGCTTATGGTCGAGTTCAGAACCTTAAAGAAGGCGTGTAGTATAGAAAGTCGAAAGGTCTTGGAGGAAGCGAAGCGCATAAGTATATGAACTTGTTCTCCACACAGTGAAAGGATTACGAAGCCTAAAGGGACACATTGTCCAAATTATAAACATTCCGCCTTGAAAGCTTGATAACGATATCGAGCAGAGCCTCGGTGCAGTAATCGTTGGTCTTCTTGTTGTTATGAGGGCCTCAACTAAATGCGGGCACAGCCAAACCATCTTGATGATAAGATTCAACTACTTAGAACAATGGTTTTATTAGATCAAAAGAGTTATGGCAATGTATACATGTAAGTATTGGTCTTTGAATTCTGGAAAAAGAGAGTGATTTCCAGGGTGAAACTATATGTGAAAACCATAGATACCAAGTCAAGGAGACATTGGCATTTGAAATACTCATGGGATGCTCGTCAATAATGTAGATGACTGGACTGTAGCGCTCACTGCGACAGGCAGTATGTCTCCATCGATTTCTCCATCCTCCTGACTTGTGTAATTATCTACCTAGAGACTCTCTCTGTGGTAAGCACTAAGTCAACATTGAGGAAAACCAAACTGGAAGCAAATAGCGGCTTTTCAATGCAATTTTCTCTCCTAATACGTGGCCCAGAGTCTCGATCATTTTTGGGGCACTGGCTTTTGCACAATGACCCCTTGCAACTGCCTCCCAAGTCGGGGCATTGGCCGGCAATAGTGGTTTCATCAGCAATTCCGGTAGGCATTTCATGCCTACTCTATCGCTTGGACATTCTTTCAACAAGGCTCTTCAACGCTGTGTGACCAGAGACATTCTTGTGCCGCGCCAGGTTTTATCTGTACGTCTTTAACCCAGAACACCTCCAAAATATGTAATGGCCCGTCAATCCAATTTAAATCCATCGCTCAATAAAGCTTCTGCTACTGAAGCTACCGAATTCAAGAAACTCGGGTTCACAACGGTGTTACACGATGAGGGGTTATGGAGGCCACCCACCCCCGGAGCTAGACGAGGCGTGGGCTCATCTCTCAAACGCCATGGTGATAAGGGTCAACACAGAGACAGCAATCAAGGTAGGCATAAATTTGTCTCCGCTCCCACGCTGGAAGACGAGCAGGGAGTATACGTAGCGGAGCTTGATGTGTTCCAATAGTTACATTATCTAGCGAGTCTTCACCAATATTTTCATTGTCTTCCGATCTCTGATGTTGGGCTGAAGAACGATACAAATAGCAATGACACCGGAGCTGTATCCTTTTGAAACTAGGCGACTGACCCTCAAGGAAGGCGAGCTTATTCTTCGCATGTTGATCATTGAATTGACCACCTCCGCCAAGTTGTCATGAAGGTCGATGTAGCTCTTGGCACTTTGACCAGGTAGACTGGTTTGATTGGCCGTGGATGAAATTCAGTGTTAGTAGCATGACTGCGTCAATTGGGATCATATATTTCAGTGGTTCACGGAACATCATATTCATCTCGAATGGTGATTTGGTCCATCCAAAATACGGTACATTCTATATTGCGTTCCTTTGAACAACTGAAATTTAATTTTTGATTGATTGTTTAAAAAAAAAAAAAAAAAAGGTCTAGTCGAAGTCCTCAAACAAGGACGTTTCTATGACAAACCGCTTTAACGCCGAATTACAGTTAGTCAACTTCACTGGCTCTGTGGGCTAGACCAAGTCTTACATTTGTATTAGCTGCAATCTTCATCACAATTTGTCCTCCAGTCGTTCTTATATTAATGATACAGCTCTAGATCTCGGGACCTAGATAGCTGTGTTCTGCTAAGCAGACGATAGGTTTGGATTCCCTATTCTAGGCATTATCTTCTGCAAATTTTGCTTTGACGACCTTACTGACGAATGATTTGAACTCGGTGGGTTCGCCCTTAATTTCGGGTTGTGTAAAGATGTACGGTTGAGATTGCATCCGAATGCTCGACGGACGTAAGATACGTGGCCCATCCCTCACGTGATCCATCAAACGTCGCTTGATATTTAGAATCAGTTTACGATAGGATGAGGAAAGCACACTTACTACTCTCAATGTCTAAGTGGTCATATCAAGAAATGGTGCATCAATTTCTCTCTGATATCCTTTATCACCATTGTAGGAATTTGGTCACAGGGCTCACTGGCTTCAAAGATGAGGTTTTAATTTCTTGTTCTAAAATCTCAGTTCCCATGATCAGCATGCAACTGTTCTTACTTATGCATCCTAACATGACCGTGACATTCAATTGAAGGCCCTTACGACAGACCAGATACCATCTAATGGGCTTCAAACCATCTAAAAGCCGCATCCTGAAGCTCGGATTAGGATATGAATGTTTAATCAAGGACGGGGCCTGTAGAAAAGATTGCCTGGCTCTTACACTGTTGCACATCACCAAATTCACTAATGCAGACATGTTTCGGATCACTGAGATCGACGTCTCTATACTTTAAATTAATGTCCATAGACCATTGGAGGCTTTAAAGGATGTAGCCAAAACAATGTTTGAGCTCTGCTTGCATTAGTAGTCTTCCGAAGAATACCAACAGTCGGCAGCAAGCAATCTTCCATGGCTAATCATAGAAATTTCATGGTTAGTTCTGTTTGCATCAAGGACGAAGGGGTCAAAGATCTTGTGCTCCTGGTGGAACTGATGCTAGAAAAGTTTTCTAGGTGATGCTTATGTGATGAAAGTACAGATTTGTTACTTCATATACCATGCTTATTGGGGAATGGCTTGAAATTTTCTGTTTTTTTCAGCCTACCAAACAATTCAGCCCATAAGCCCAGCTGGTTCCATAGGCTCCCGAGCTGTGATTCAGTGGACTTTAGGAAGAGATTCCTTGATATCAAGTCCAATGGCGTGAGCTTCAGTGTGAGAAAATTTCACAAGCCCGTAAACCTGGTAGCACCACAGCACGCCATTTCGCGTCGCTCTGCGGTCTGGACTCGTCCGAAGAGGCTTAACCGTTGACGCCAAAATGGATCGTCCTGGTCCATTAAACTGCATTGGAGTTGTGATTGCTACATCGTGGTATACACATCGTCAAATTTGGTTTCCGAATTGTCTCACCTCACAATCTGGTGCCACCTTGATCGCGCCCTCGCATGTAGGGATGGCCGTGGTTAGCAGACGAGAGGGAGAGGAAGATAGAGAGGCAACCAAGAGCCCAGAGGTAAACCCAGCGAGGGCAAGAGTGATCATGAGATACCAGGATTGCCGAACGCGCGCGTAGTCGCTCCGTTGCGACTGTATAAGCAATTCGCCTTCTCCTGATCCTCAAATCCAGGTTCGCTGTTACTATCATCAGCCTGAAGACAATGATACGACCTGTTGGCACGGAGTAGGGATTGATATCACACATCGTCAAATCTGGTTCTGCAAGAAATCAATTAAGAATTCGTTGGGATTGCAAACCCTCTGACGACTTGGTCTTCGCTTACCTCCTTAGTGGAATGGTGTAATAGAGCTATAGTCACGAAGAGACGGACTAGTGTCAGACGATTAACAGCCGAAGTGTAGCTCCGCTGGTCAGAATCTTGAATTCAATGCTTTGAGGAGGAAGCACCTCAACTTTTACCAGCTTTATCGTTATTTTAACATTCACTTAAATTGGGGCAACAAACTTCTTATGAAGCTTTAATTATAGGGAGTTCTCATAGACACGGTGTAACCCAGTGTTCTATCTTGTCTCAGCGAACGACGTCATTTTTCTACCCAAAAGCTTGTGTTTAACTTGTTATGACGAGGGGTTTTTACACAACATTTAACGTTTTGTTTGTCGTTTATCTTCAGAGACGCGTGATTAGCTCCGTTTCCCTATCATTAAAATTTGTGGATTCACGGGCCATTTTCCGTAAATATATTAATTTCAAAAAGAGATAATCATCCGTTTCTCTGCAACATTACGGCCTCGAAACCCTCCCTATAGACCGTGGGATCGGCCATCCGACTTTAAGCTTTGTCGCGGCATCTACACTAACGTATATACATAGCGAGTCGCCTATTATAACGAGTCGCTTACTTTCCTTTCCTTTTATACTTTCTATCTTAATAACTATTTTTCTTTACGTATAATTATTAATTTTTTTTTTAAATAAAAGTCGTATTATCTTTATATTT